CGCCTCCTGCAAGAAACGATTCTCTATGCATCAAGTCCAGACCCTCTGTACAAAGCAAAGTGAAGGACAGGGTCTGGTTTTAACCAGGCCAGGGCTCCCTGGACCTTTGGCAGTTTTGGGATCCTAAAGGTGGGGGGCAAGCGTGCCGTGGCCTGAGCGAAGGTTTGATGCTGCGGCGGTGGAGCTGCGGTGCTGGAAGCGAACGTGTGCCTGGGGAGACAGCTTCAGGGCCTCGTCTCTTTTCTTTTCCTCCCACCTCTTTTGCATCGAGGTGACCGCGGAGCCGAGCAGACCCTGCGGAGTGATGGGAGTGTTGAGGAGGTCCTCCTTCTCTTTTGTGGAGAGAGTGGTGAGATTCAACCACCTGGCCCACTCCTGCAGAACCATCAGCCCCATGGTTCTGCCCATAGCCTAGATCGCCACTTTCTGCAGCTGGAGACAGTGGTCCGTGATGATGCAGACTTCGTCCCACAGAGCAGCATCTGATGAGGCGATCATCTGCTCCTCTAGCTCCGCCTGGTACGCCATGAGCATGGAGGAAGCATTTAGAGCCCGGACTGACAGCGCAGCCGCTTTATAGGACTTCTCAGTCAGGCTGGACTGAAAACGGTCTGCTCTGGAGGGGAGAGCGGGGCCACCTACCGACATGGAAGTCTTCGGGTGCGGGTGTGCTGCGACCGCAGGCTCGACTGGAGGCATTTGGCGGAGACCCCCTTTTTCCATGTCCACACAGTCCAGCACCGAGCTGCCCGCCACCGGGTGCTTCTCCTTGAAAGGCTTGCTGCGCCAGGAGATGGACAGTTCTTCCAGCAGCTCGGGGAAAAACGGCAGGAGCTATTTGCCTGTTTTCTTTGCTTTAGGCAGCTTCTTTCCATTGAAATGTGAACGGACCACCTCAGCTTGGACCTCAGGCCACTGGATGTTGAGCTTCGCAGCGGCGCATTTAGACACATTGTGCAGGTCTAAATCCAGCTCTGGCGAGGATGGGTCTTCACGACCGGGTCAGCCCACATCAGAAAGAGCGGATTTTACAACCCGTCCTGACAGCTGGGCAGATGGATCTTAATCCTCCTCGTCATCTGAGAAAGGGAGCTCCGAGTCATCGGAGAGCTCGCCTCCTGCCAAGTAATCCAGCGAGCTCGAAGTGAGAGCCTGCTCCATCGTTTCGGATGAAAGCGGGTCTGCAGTTTTGAGCAAGTCGCCCCAACTTGTTCCAGCTTCAGGTTCAGAGACCTGGGAAACCACCAAGTCGGCTGGGTCCTGTTCGGCAACTGTCGAAGCCAGCACCGGGTCCCCGCTGGACAGTGTGAACTGACGGGCCAGACGGCRACGAGGCACCTTGAGGGAGAACCGGCTGCAGTGCGCACACTCCTCCGCCAACTCAAGGGATGCTTGGGCGTGTTTCAAGCCGAGGCACACCACACAGGTTGGGTAGGTGTCCCAGCTTGATATTTTATTGCCACACAGGCAGGCCCGTGGCTGTGGGCCCTCCATTGGTTTTGCTGAAGCCCCCGCGGTCTCCTTGTTCCAGGGAGATGTCTGAAGCTACGTTAGCTGGTGACAGCTAGGCTAACCAGGTATGGCTAGGCTTGGGGGGGAGTGTTGCGACTTCCCCTTGGGGTAGCTCAAACAGTTAAAGTATTGCTACTTTTTTAAGTATTGCTACCTTTTTTTTGACGGTATTGCTACCGATAACCAGACACTCTGTGCAGTGCTGTGCTAATCCAGAGCAAAGCACCCAGTGACCGCGCTTACGCACGAGTCTGTGGACAGTTTAGCTAGGCTCTGAGAAGAGGCAGTACCTGGAGAGAGCTGGTGGAA